AATTGGCAAGGGAAATATAAGTACTCCGAGAAAATCTGCCCCGGTGCCTTTTTGTCCACCACAAATCCCACATTGCACGACCTGGGCTCGAACCTGGGCCCCAGTGGTGAGAAGCAGGCGACTAACATCCTGAGCTATGACACGGTAGTATGCAGGATGTAATATCCAGATGTCGCGTCTTATTAGCCCTTCTTTGCAAAACGAAAGGAACTCTTTATATTAAAGCACTGTCCGCCTCTTAGTGGGAACTTTCACTAAAATTTGTTGGGCTCTTCCTATTTTTGGGCCATATTGAGAGGTAACAGAGCCCACTTTTCCTGAAGTCATAAATGGATAAAGAAACCGCAGGTAATCTTAATATTTGATCCTTTCTTCCTTATGAAGTTTTCACATTCCAGTCTTTTTAATAATTCACTGAATATAAAATATTTCAGAAAAACTTTTCGCAGACAAAGTGCATGAATAATTTCTGCTACATCAAATTGTAATTCTACAACTTGGAACATTTGCGATAATTTGCATAACTTTACCTAACATAGCTTCCGCCCGTGCCATGGCTCAGGCGGTTAGTCTTCGGCTTCCCAACACGGGTGTCCGGGTTCGAGTCCAGGTCAGGTTATTTGGGATTTGTAGTTGAGAAAGTGGCACTGGGGCAAGGTTTCTCCGAGAACTTCCGTTTCCCCTGTCAATTTTGATTTCATGGACTGTACAAAGGCCAATTAGTGACCGACATAAGAAGTGGACTCAGTCTCACCCCACCCCACGAAAATTAAAAAAAAAAAAGTGTACAGCATTTGAAGATTTCATGGTCATTGAATATAATATAAATTTTACCGCTCATAAGTCTTACCAGTATGGAGCGAGTTTCAAATTTTTATGAACTATCCCTGTTCCCAATATCACGGGCTTAATTTCTAACAACTGCCGTACCTATCTTAATAATTTATAACTATGGAATACATTTTTTTTTCCTTGGCACTACAGCCCCAGTGGGCCTAGGCGTACCTCCATGAACTTCTCCGTTCATTTCGATTGGAATAAAAATATACAACCCCCGAAACTCTGTGAATTTAAAATTCATTTTGTATTGTTAGGTCAGTGGCCCTAAGAAAAATTAATTTCAAAGAAATACGTTTCCCAAAACGCTACCGCACATAAAATGGGTGAAATTGGAGAAGCAAATGTCACAAGAGTTCACGTACATATTTAACATGGCTCGTCACAGAGTGAGTTCCCTTGAAAGTCGTGGTGACAGGGACCTTTCATTCGTACGTAAAGCTATGTCCGTGTTCTGCAATTGGTATTCAGGTAATTGCTGTACACATGTAGCTGGTCATAATCTCATATGATTTGTATGAAAAGCCACTCAAGGTAAACTAAGGAATTAAGCAGTTGTAAAGCATGACATTTTTTTCTCCGGAGGCTTCGTTGGCATGGCATACCGGATATGCAACGAGGAGCGATTGAATTCATTTCGAAATGCAGTCTGTGATAAATGGAAATTAAACTAATATGTATAAGCTACACTCATATTATTATATTTCAACGTCCTGTTGCATTTTGGCATAATTTTTAGATCGTAAGTATAAGTAAGTATAATGCAATAATAGCCTTATATAAAATACACTAAAATAGATTGAATACACTAGAAGTGTTTATTAAATATTTTAAAATGTCATTAAAATGAATGTGGAATTTTATTGATATTTTAAAGTATTTAAATACCATTTTAGTGTATTAAATACATTTTAGTGTCTTTTATATAAGGTTATTTTTGCATTAGAGACGGTATATTTATGATCTAAAAAAGGTATGTTAAAATCAATAACAGAGATAATATCCTCTATTTAGTGTACTGCTATGTTTATACAGAATGCATATTTGAATTTATATTGCATATAATACCAAAAAAGCTATCATATTGAGAAAGACACAAGTTCTAAAATATTTTACCCAGTGGGACTAAATTTTCTGTTTGGAAAAATTTTACTCCCAAGGACCTCAATAAAATACGATCTCAGAATAACTTGCACACTGAAATAGAGTGATATCACCGATTTTCCTTTTTTTTTTCCTTGGCACTACAGCCCCAGTGGGCCTAGGTCTACCTCCATGAACTTCTCCATTCACTTCGGTTTTTCTAGATCTTAAACATTCGGTGGGACTCTTTGGGCGGGGGTTCAGCTCGTTGCAAGGCCTCTACATGTGCACAAACAGAATAAACGATATACACATACCAAACATCCATGTCCTAAGTAGGATTCGAACCCACGATCCCGGGTTCCAAGCGAGAGAAAACAGTACATGTCTTAGACCGCTCGGCTACCGTGACCGGCCACCGATTTGCCTTAGGAAACTGAAAATTATGTTCATGGCAATTAACCCCGTGGAGCAGCAACATTATTTAAAATGTTTTAGTTGCTTTTCTAGTTATAAAAATCTCTTCAACGAATTAAAATGCTCATTACTGTTTTCACAGAAGTTTTCTACTGGACCCTATCCTGAGACAGATGCATCCAGTTAGTATCTTCACTTCGTATTTTTTTGAGATATATTTTAGCGTGATTGTGACACATGTCTTTAGGTCTCCTAGCAATATCTCCCTTTTATATAAAACGACTAAACTTATTTTTATGAATTCCTCACGCCCGGTACGCTCTACAAGTCTGCGCACCTAATCCTTCTTGATTTATTATATAAAATATTCAGCGAATAATATATCTTAATAAGTAGATACGAGTACTACAGGGTTCTGACGATGGTGTGTAACACACAGAGATACTGGGGTTTCGGACTTTGTCCATCATTCGGATTCTAAATAACTAAGAAGTAAAAACACGACGTTTCGGAACTGGATCTGTTTCCGTCCTCAGGCGAGGGAAGACAGCTACTCTGTTGGGTCCATTAGAAGGAGCTAGCCTCAATCACTGGTCCAGTTCCCGAAACGTTGTGTTTCTTTTTAATTATTTATAATCCGGACGATGGCCAAAGTCCGAAAGCCCAGTATCTCTGTGCAATATATCTTATGTTATTTTCTCCATTCTCCTGTTGCTTACACTATCGTAAATCTATTCAGTTTGACGCTATAAGTAATAGTAAAAACTATTCGATTATTAAAAATAATTAGTGCCCCCTGAGTAACAAGTTAATATAAAATATAAGATATGATTTCAAATTTCTGTCTACCGAAATATAAATAATTTACAAATTCATGTTCTGCATCGTTTACTTTACCCTCCACAACAGTGTGCTCAAGAAACATTACTAACGAAGTAGTTTAGCAACTTCTTAGAGCCAGACATAACAACAGAACTAGGTCCCACGAAATTACTATTTTTAAGTTGACTTAGACAAATCACAGAACATTCTGCCGTTGGCTTGCGGTTTTACAGGTTGAAGATTCTTAGGAATAACTGAATGAAACCTATGAAACAAAATTACATGTTTCGAATGTCACAGATATGAAATCGAATGAGTCATGGTCAAGATATTGTCCTTCAGAACGCAAACAATAGATAGACGTAAGTGATACCTGTCTATCGTCACACTGCGCTGACATACGTGGTTTAAACATACAATATTCTCCTTCATCAGAGGTGGTTCAGGTCAATAACATAGTCAGTCCTGGGCAGAAACGTCACTTGAGTTTGTTTTCTTTCTTATAAAATTGAGTGCGCTATCTACATAGGGTGAAAGGTAAAACTATCCCTGTAACAGGCCATGGAGGACCATAGGGTTGTGAGACGTCGAGGCTCCCATATTTTCTAGAAAAACAGCTCACAGATGGGGGTAAGGTTGTCAGCCTTACGCGCTGGCCGCCCTTTACCGCCCAGGAAGATTCATGGTAGTCATTTCTGTTAGAGGCTGAGTCGATCCCAGGGACATATTTCGGCTGGAGGGATTAGGTAAATTGAAGAATTCAATGACCTCAACGAGAATCAAACCCGCGACCTTCCGGCTTGTAGCATAGTGTCTAAACCAACTACGCTACCGCGTGACCCTAGGGTCCTTACTGAAAAGCTATATTTGACAGTTGCCTTTTGTGCCAGTCAGTAAGTTTTCTTACAATAAGCTAAGATGGATGAAGGGGCAGTTATCACGAATGGGAGGTATTATGAATCCACAAGAAAATGTTGGCCGGTAAACTTGAAGGAAAGTGACGTGGGCATAGATGGAAAGATAAAATTAAAACGGATTTCCTGTAAACAGGATATATTGTGTGAACTGATCTGATTAAGGACAGAGTTCAGCCTGCATGGCATTTTAATGAAATGTCGAGTTCCAGGTGAGCTTCTCAAAAATACTCAGCTGTGTGAATATAATTGATTATAACGAATGTCTATGGAGGAGGCAAAACAATGGATTGCCGCAGCAGATCCGTCTGGCTATTGTTTCAATGTCTGCTATAATTCACATATCTGAATGGTTTCTTTATTGCACTGTGGATAGAGACCAACACATGCTTCGCAGTGATACAGCCGGTAAAGTCAAGCATGTAGTTCCTACGTGCATTTGTACGGGGAAGTATGTTTAACCCTCACCACAGAATCCTGACACAACGTGGTTATGGAGTAACACGCCTAGTTTTCAAGGCAACACATTTTATTATTCCTCCTTAGTGAAAGTGATTTCGTTTTATTTTACATTTTTACTTTGTAACGATGGTAATATGTTTTTAGTCGCGTTCTTATAACCCTTTGTGGTCAATTACTATTATCCTTGTAGTACACTTGAATGAAAGTCAAAGAGTATAGACATAGTGTTTTTTTCTTGCGTTTCTACTCCCTCTCATCGCTTTACATTGTCTCTTTGAATACCTTCAGGCGTATTGTTCTGTCTTAAACCCTAGAAACATTTTTCCGCAATTGCTAAGGAGAGAATTATATTCAGTCAGTGTGATTAATATTAGAAACCAACTTAAGGTCAGATCGAGACCTTGAATACTCTACGGCAACGAGTCTAACAGAGGTATATAAAAGGCGTGGATCGTTTTGCATGTCAGCATCAGTCCATAGCAGATCACAGGAGCTCTAACAAGCACCCACAGGCTCGCAAACAATGGCTTTCGCTCAGGTAAGTCTTATACAGAAATATTTCGTTTAATTCTCACCAATTTGCATCAGAACTGAAACAAGGACGATGACCTTAAAGCTATGAATATTTGTAGAGGAATATTTTGGGATATAGAGTCATATGGCCCGGTTTAGCCCATCAGATAAAAGTCTTTCAAACCACCCCTCTAAGAACCTAAAATCCTACAAGGTTCCTATTGTTTAATTGAAAGGTAGTTACCAAGTACTCCTGATTAGTTCTTATTATTGATGGAGGATTAAACAACTTACACAAAAAAATTAACAGGGACTATTTTGGTATTTAAACAAGATATAAACTTACTCGATATAGTGATGTGGTTTGTAGAAACGTATTAAGATACCTGTCCATAAATTTAAAGGCAAAATAGACGCCGCACTACAACGCATATAAATTTGTAAAGGGAGTGGAACTCCTAACATTTTTAAACTTTATACTTGATGTAGGTGAGTGGTTGGCTTCTCGCTTCGACCACTTTACGACTGAGTAACGCGTCTTTTGTCCGGATTGGTTAGGAAGGTGCTTGGGCTACAAATAGCTCTAGAGGTAGTGGCAGAATATAAATGCCTGCAACTGACGATAACACTGTCCTGGCTGTCGAAACAGTCACTAGATTAAGATACTCTGGGGCATCATGTGCGTGCAAAATTATATATAAAACGTAGCTGCATTTTTCGGATGAATGGACCATATTCCATTTGAACATAAGTATTCATTAATTGCTCTAAGTGAATTTCAGTACAATAATGAAAATTTAAATAGGTGTAAATAAGATCTAAAAGTTTATGACGATGGTACATTAGTACAAATATTATGTTTCTGGATATTATCCACCTTCCTGTTTTTATCTAAAAACCGTCGTCTTTATTTTAGATATTTTAGTTCTCCGAAACATTGTGTTTTGAAAAATAGACAGGACGTTTTTAGCTAAAGACAAGACGATGGGTAATGTCCAAAACATAATATTTTTTCTGAAATACCGTATTTACGCATGTATAGGCCGCACATTTTTTGCCAAAAATTCAAGAGGAAAACTGGGGTGCGGCTTATATTCGAAATATTCGAAATCACACTTCATTTTAAAAAAATTATATTCATAATTAGTAATACAGGGTGCAATACTCCTGAAATAATATTCCAAGAAAATTATTTTTTCTATAATTTCTGTCTGAAAATTGTGCTGCGGCCTATACACGCACGCGGCCAATACATTCGTAAATACGGTATGTGTCCTGAATTTTATTGTACCAATATACAGCTGCCAATTTTACATGTGGCTCCCCTTATTTTCTGTCAATAAACTTAGCTGTCATTAGGTATCATATCACAATTACTACACAACCCCACTAATAGATAAAGCACTGCGCCGTCTTCTCTGACAACAGAAGGATCAAAACATGCAAAACCTATATTTACGTGTGGCTGTGAAACTGAGTATTTGATTCAGGGAAAATAATGCTCAAAAAATATTTGAACCAAAGCGACAGAAACCCCTAGAGAGGAAAACAATTGCATATTGAAGAGACCAATGGCCTGTACTCTTGAAGAGATGCTATCAGGAAGACTATGCCACAGAGAATGGTACGGGCGGGACACGCAATGTGTTATGATGGTGGTGTGAATTATGTTTAATAATCGGATGGAACAGCTCAACAGAAGAGACCAATGGCAAGAATAGAAGGTAAATATATCCCTGTAACAGGCAGTGGAGGCCCATAAGTTTGTAAGGCATCGAGACTCCCACATTTTTTCAGGACAATCGGCCCAAAAATGGCTTCAAGGTTGTCAGCCTTACGCGCCGGCCACCCTTTACCACCCCAGGAAGATTCTTGGTACTCGTTCCTGTTAGACGCTGAGTTCATCCCAGGGTCGTAGCGCGACTGGAAGGATTAGGTAAATTGAAAAATCCATTCGAAATCAAACTCGTGACCCTTCGTCTTTTGACATAGTACCTCAACCAACTACGCTACCGGGTTCCTCATTTCATGATTATATAGTAATAACAATAATACAGTAATGATAATAAAAATAGTAACAATATTTTCGTGAGTTCTCGGGTTAAGATTGGGGGGCCTAAGTCAGGAATTGTCACCTAATGTTCTTCAAAATTTACGCCTAGTGTGCTGTCCATATTTCAAAATCATCTATCGGAAACTTTTTCAGTATTATGTAAGATTTGAGGCTTTCACGGCGGTAACTATGAAGAAAGCAGTCTTCTGGGATGTGGGGCCGTGTAAACATTCTGTTAGGTGACTTTTCAGAGGAACGTATCGCCTCCATCTTCAGAGTAGAAAAGAAGAAGAAATCCGCGAGCGAACCGGCGTGAGCAGGTGCAACAGAGAAGTTGTTTCATTACTTGGTCAATACTGGGAGGATTCACGTGTAATTTACTGATTCCTGCAAATGCGGTTTCTGGACATTATCAATGGTCATATATTTACCCAAAACACAGCCCTCTTTATATTTCAAAACACAACGTTTCCAAGACTGGATTGTCTCCGTCTTCAGGTAAAACCAATCAATAGAGCTAGTCCCTATCTCCAAAACGTTGTGTTTTTAAATATAAGTAGGACTGTTTTAGATTAAAAAAAACAGGTCGATTGATAATGTTTAGAAATATACTCTTTGTACTAATGTAAAAAAAAAGTAAAGGTATCCCTGTGACAGGCCGTGGAGGCCCATAGGGTTGTGAGACGTTGAGGTTCCCACATTTTCTAGACAATCGACATATAGATGGTGGCAAGGTTGTCAGCCCTACGCGCCGGCCGCCCTTTACCCGAAATAATATTCCAAGAATATTCCTGGTACTCATTTTTGTTAGAGGCTGAGTCGACCACATGGCCATAGTGCCGCTGGAAGGATTAGGTCAATTGAAAAAAAAATCCAGTGACCTCATTGTGACTTGAACCCGCGACCTTCAGTCTTGTATCTGCCTCAACCAACTACGCTACCGCATGCCCCTTGTACTAATGTACCATCGTCAAAAATTAACTGATTATTTTCACGAGCTGAAATCATGGAGCGGAGTCCTCATTGAGAAGCTGATAGTCTCTCAGCCAGTCATTAGATTCCATGTGTTTCAACGACGGCGACAGTTGATTGCCTTGTTAATAAGTTCCCACCACTGGTTTCTATTTCTCTGAACTCCAATTTACATGATCCTGCAACCTGTTTAAGGAAAGAAACCACAGAACTTAATGTCAGGACCGGAGGACAGATCAGTAGACTGAGATCTATGGTTTTGTTACAGATCGTCGCTGTGGTGTGTGTTGCCGTAGCCGTGGCTGAAGCTGGTGTCATCGCCGGCTACGGTGGCTACGGTGGCTATGGAGTTGCTGGGCTCGGCCATGCCGGTTTGGGATACGGTGTCGCTCCGGTGGCAGCCCTGGCCCCCGCTGTAGCCGCTCCTCACGGTTTGGCCGTAGCTGCTGCTGCTCCTCATGCAGCTGTGGACTACTACGTAAGTGTGACGCAATAGGACTCAGTGCGCTGGTCCTTCTACACAGCACGGGCAGCTGCAGCCTACTTATCCTCTCCCCAGTATATACCGGAAACAACTGAGGAGAGTCAGTACCTAATAGACTTTATATTACGTGCAATTCGAATTCTAGTTTTATTATAGTTTAAATGTCCTTGATCTGAATATATCATTTAGTTCAAATTTCAGAAGCTAATCCGAAAATTACGTTCTTGGTAGGCATCAGAATCAAAAATTGTAATTTCTATGATTTAAAAAACTTATCCAAGTAACAAATTTCCAAGGAGAGACTATTAGTAATATCTGGACTGTGATCTAGTGATCTAGATCTGTGATCTAGTTCTTGTCTACACATCTAGAGGTCCCGTGTTCGATTCTCGGCGCTACCAAATTTTCTGAGAAGTAGTGGGTCTGGAACGGGGTCCACTCAGCCGAGAAATTTTACTAGCAAAAACACTAAGGTCAAAATTATGGCCGCGCCATAACTCAAGCGGTTAGTCGCTGGCTTCCCACCGCGGCGGCCCTGGTTCGATCCCGGGTCTGGTAAAGTGGGATTTGTGGTAGACAAAGTGGCACTGGGGCAGGTTTTCTCCGAGTACTTCGGTTTTCCCTGCCAATCTTTATTCCACCAATTGCTCCACAATCACCATCACCTATCATCACCTAGAAGGCTCCGTTGCATAAAATATCCATGAAATCCTCAAACCCTGAAGTACTAATTAAATATCAACGAAAGAACTGGAATTTGAGAGCGATCTATCACCTCTTTGCAGTGTTTATATGTGAGCTTGCTTGAGTTTCACTTCATGCAGCAGACTCATTCAATACTCATTATGCCTACACTCAACAGGTGACAAAGAAAGTTGGATTAAAGTGTAATCAGTTCAAACTGTACCCAGCATTACGTCTCCCCTGCTTGCCAACGCTCTTAAAATTCTAAACAGAGAGTTCTGTTTAATGGGGGCTTTAGCCTTAGAAATACATATACCGTATTTACGCATGTATAGGCCGCACATTTTTTGCCAAAAATTCAAGAGGAAAACTGGGGTGTGGCTTATATTCGAAATATTCGAAATCACACTTCATTTAAAAAAATATGTATTCATAATTAGTAATACAGGGTATAATACTCCTGAAATAATATTCCAATAAAATTATTTTTTCTATAATTTCTCTCTGAAAATTGTGCTGCTGCTTATACACGCACGCGGCCTATACATGCATAAATACGGTATATTGGATGAAAGTAAAACCAAATCATATCTCAAAGCAGTCGCCACAAACCGGTATTAAATTACAGCAAATCGTTCATATTTTCCAGTCTTACCCCAAATACTCATACAATTATGGAGTGGCCGACGCCTTGACCGGTGACGTCAAGTCTCAGGCCGAACACCGTGACGGAGACCTCGTCAAGGGTCAGTACAGCCTCGTGGAGCCTGACGGCACTCTCCGTGTCGTGGACTACACCGCTGATGCCATTAACGGTTTCAACGCCGTTGTTTCCAAGCATGGCCACGCCGTGCACCCAGCTCCGCTTGTGGGCCATCTCGGCTACGGACACGGCAAGTAGGCAGGTCACGTGACACTCAGCCATTACATTGACGACCTCAGCGCACCTAACAAAACATACCCACTCTCGCTTCTATAACAACGGATCTAGAATTCATCATAACTTTATTATATATTATTTTCATAATTTAAATATTCTGTATAGTGCAACACTTTGTGCAATAAAAATCGTTTTTTTAATATTTACTTCTCAATTTTTTCCTCGAATCCTTTATTTACACTAAATCCCTGTTTACTTATGGGAGCCGGGATAGCGTAGTCTGTATAGCGAATGACTACGGGGTGGGCGACCGAGGGTTCGGAGCTCGAGTCCCAGTAAGGTGAAGAGTTTTCTTTTCTCCACGTCCCCCAGACCTGCTCTCAGGCATATCCAGCCTCCTATCCAGTGGGTACGGGGGTCTCTTCCCCCGGGGGTAAAGCGGCAGGGGCGTGAATCTGACCACTCAGCTCCAACTAGTGCCGAGGTCAAGAAAATGTGGATCTCTACATCCACTTGGCCGCTCACGGTAGCCGAGCGGTCTAAGGCATGTACTGTCTTCGCTCGCTTGGAAACCGGGATCGTAGGTTCGAATCCCACTCAGGGCATGGATGTTTAGTTTGTGTGTGTGCGTTTTTCTGTGTTTGTGTACAGGCAGAGGCCTTGCGACGAGCTGATCACCCGCCCAAGGAGTCCTACCGAGTGTGTAAGATCTAGAAAAACCGAAGTGAACGGAGAAATTCATGGATGTAGGCCTAGGCCCACTGGGGCTGTAGTGCCAATTATAAATTAAAAATTAAAAAATACAGCCACTCGCCTATACGTCTTCATGGCGTAGTGCTCAATTAGTTAAGTACAGGGATAACTTTACCTTTTTACATTTACTTACACCGCAGTGGTAAATAGAGGCCTACATACAAACTACCGTTAGATGTATTGACTGCAAGATACAGTCGGTGGCTTCCCACCACGGCTGCCCGGGTTCGATTCCGGTCTGATCAAGTGGGATTTGTGGTGAACACAGTGGCGCTGGGGCGGGTTTTCTCCGAGTACTTCGCTTCCCTACTAATCTTCATTCCACCAAATTCTCCATCATCATAATCACTCGGCACAGGTACAATAGGCCGATCAGTGGCCGCCGTGCTGAGTGGACCCAGCTGGACTCCACCCCTACTAAGCGAATTAAAAAAGAAAGTTGGAGGGTGGAGTCATTGAGGCAATGTGTGTCAATAATATAAAATTTTAGTTGCTGTTACACCGTGCTTCCCTTTATTCCATACCCATTGCCAACCCCCCTGAAGTAAGTACATTTTCCTTATGTAACATCTCAAGTTTGAATTGAAGATTATCGCTACTGTGAGCTTTCATTAAAGTTCACAGAATGTAACAGCTAGTTAACTGCATCATTTTGATAAGGTTCATAACTGTGCCTCACAAACAAGCAAAATATCTTTGTGATAAAGAAGTATTATTTTTAGATAAGTATGTAACGTGATCTAGGAGAGATAGTACAGACTCTATAGTGACTGGGTATGGGCTGGACAGCTGAGGGTTCAGAGTTTGAGTCCTGACAGATTCAAAATTTTTTCCTTTCGTCATCCATACCTATTCTGTGACCCACCTAGCCTCCTGTCTAGTGGGTAACGGGGGTTGTTTCCTCACGAGTAAAGTGACTTGGGCTTGAAGCTGACTACTCACCTCCATCTAGTGTCGAACTCAAGAATACGTGGATCTGTACATCTCCCCATACACCTTCATGGTATAGTGCTTGATTAGTTACATACATGACTTTACCTTTATGCACATTGATCTATGATTGTAATTTCATTTAAATGTTGTACTGGAGTTTGTTGTTAAAAGGCTAATCTTAAGTATGGAATATGTTGTAAGCAAGTTTTCACATATGCCTGTTATGCACTTCATATTTAGCCAACTTGGTGAGAAATTTATATAAAAATTAAGCTTACTCGAATAACTTTGAACCTTAAATAATTTTATAATTTATTTTGCTGGATCATGTTTGATTATATCATGGCAGACCATGCTGCACTAGTGAACTATTATACATTTTAAGGGTTCCTTTGAGTAAAAGTTGATATATAAGGTTTTCTTCTGGTGGTATGCAGCAGTTAGTTGTACTAGCACCCTCTTTAGTCAAGCACATAAAAATATAAATGGTATATTCAAACATGAGCTGTAGAAGAACCTGTAGAAATCTTACATAATTTTCCTGGGGAGTAAAGCGCGGCTGACGCGTAAGGCTGACAACCTTACCGCCATCTTTGAGCCAATTGTCTAGATAATGTGGGACCTTCATCGCCTCACAACCCTATGGGCCTTCACGGTCTGTTACAGGGATAGCTTTACTTTTATCTTTCATGCCTCTTGAATAATGATACTTTTTATTACGAGTATATCGGTTCGTGATCCTTCATCTCAGTCACACAATATAAGATGCAACATGTGGCACTGCATAATCTTGAAACTCTTATTAACTCAAAACTGACACTTTGTATTATATTATTTAAGTTGATCAAAAAATACTCCTGTCTGGACAGAATAGCCTCCAAGCAGTGCGAACATGACCAGGGCGGTCCATGGCTTCGGGTGTAAGAGCGTGAAGTTTTTTGTCGCGTGACATACCCAACACGTGACAATATAATAAAAATATACTAGCTTGGTGGTTCCCACTGCGGTGACTAGGGAGGGTTCCATCTTCTGGAATATAACATCGTAGAGTTCTGTGCAAGTCAATAGATATCACGAATGATAAGACAAGCAAGGAATCAGCATGAAGCAGGTAAGAGGCTTGGTTTATTTTCGAAGTTGAAGATGGAGATTGCATATATTCGAAAGGAGGGGTCACTTTCCCGGACTATACAGGGTTATATTGCAGGAGACAGAAAACTTCAGTAAAGGTATCTGTTGTAAGATTTGAGGCTTTCACGGCGGTGACTATGAAGAAAGCAGTCTTCTGGGATTTGGCACCGTGTACATGTGGTGTTAACCGACGTTTCGGAAGAACGTATCGCCTCCATCTTCAGGGTAGAAGAAAAAATATAAGAAATCTGCAAATCGAAAAGACCGTGAGAACCGGTAAAAGCAGACTGACAGAAAAAGAAGAAATCAGCTAGCGAGGAACCAACGTGAGCAGACCAGTGATTGAGGCTAGCTCTTTCTAAGGGACCCAACAGAATAGGTGTTTTCCCTCACCTGAGGACGGAAACAGATCCAGTTTCCGAAACGTCGTGTTTTTCTTAGTTATCTTAAAAACCAGGACGATGGATAAAGTCAGAAAACCCAATATCTCTGTGTGTTATACACCATCGTCAGAATCCTATAGTAACTACCCACCCCTGTTCTTGTAGTACTCATAGGTTCATTGTCATGTCCTCAAGATCTTGCCACTGGCCCCCTTCCTGAGCCTGTTTAATCTATATTAGATTTGAGGTTTTCACGGAGGTGACTATGAAGAAAGCAGTCCTCTGGGATGTGGCGCCGTGTAGATATTGTGTTAACCGTCGTTTCGGAGGAGCGTATCGTCTGCTCACTATGGTTCCTCGCTAGAGGATTTCTTCTTTTTTCTTCAGCCCTGAAGATGGAGGCGATACGTTCTTCCGAAACGTCTGTTAACACAATATCTACACGTTGCCACATCCCAGAAGACTGTTTTCTTCTGTTTAATCTGATTCACTCTCTCATACTCTCCTCCAACAAGCACAGTATGGCAAAGAGAAACACACCATCTCCGGTGACACCTTCGAGGAACCAGCACTGGATACAGGACATCACATACCCGCTAAATGGCTCAGACACGTCACAACACTTTCGTTGTTTGGCCACACGCACCAGCAAATTGCAGCAATTTCTTCATCATCTCAACAGCGTTAGACCTACCGTCATATTCATAATGGTAGATGGAAGTAATGCACCCTTCCGTTCTTGGATATTCTTGTCATGAAGGGTGGTCGAAAAAGGCCATGAAAATATACTAAAACCCCACTCATACTGGTCGTTATCTGCACTTCAATTCCAACCACCCACGTCATTTAAAAAAGGGAGTCGTTCACAGATTGGTCAGCCGAGCCAAGATCGTATGTCAGGATCAGAAGGATTTCAACAAGGAAATTAAGAACGTAAGACATGATCAGATGTTTAAAGAATATCCACAAGAATTCGTTCTGTCCATACTGAAGCCATCGAGAAGCCGCCGTCCATCTTCAAATAAAATACACCAGAGCACAATTATTATTCCATATGTTAAAGTTACCTCCAACCGCACTGGAAACCAGTTCAACGTCAGGATCATTTTCAAAACTAAACATACACTCCGTTGAACAGTGATGAAGACTGGACCAGTTAGAGACGCCAATCCCACGAAGCAATGTGTGTACACTATCCCATGTGATAATGGCAGATGTTACATAAGCGAAACAGGCAGACCTTCAGAAGTACTTATTAAGGAGCACAAATATAACCTAAGACAGGGTTTGCTGGAAAAATCAAAATTAGCCCAACATGTGCACGAGGAAGGCCACGGAACATGTTGGAAAGAAGCGAAGGTCTTGCGGACTGAACCAAACACCACATACAGGGGATACAAGGGATCCGCCCACATGTCTCAGATCGACCATCCGATCAGTCAACGCAGTTTTGACATCTCTCCCATCTGGAACCTCTGTTATCACAGCAGAAGTAAGAAAACTACAACTCCGTCCACTGAAGATTACGTAGAAAAATTTGTGTGTGTGTTTATTTTCTTTTTTGGTACCATTGGTTATTTTTATTCTTGTAGTTCTCTGGTGCAAAGTCTCATACGTGTGGAGTTAAATGTTTCAATATTTTCGTTTAGTTGTCCCATATGGTTTTTGCCTTGCTTGCCTGCTGTACCCTCTCTTGTGTAGGTACAGGTGTCCGGAGAGAGGGACTAGCTCTATCGTTTGGACCCTATTGAGTAGGTTTTATCTGAAGATAGAGAGAGAATCCAGTCTCCAAGACTTTGTGTCGGTAAATACAAACAGGACGATGGATAAAGTCCAGAAACATAATATTTGAACCGTTTTAATATTATCTTACTATACTGGTATACTTCTCTCAAGTAGTCTCTTTTGTTCAGATTTCTAGACAAAGAGACTAGTATTTCTTATTTCCCCCAAGCATGCTATACGTCCTATTACAGA